ACTAAAGTTCTTATATTAAGTCTTGTGCATTAGTCCTGCAGAATTGGCAAAACTCAGCTGTAGGAGATGCCTCGATCTTGGTTCTATCAAGATGCTGTTCTCATGTCCGTTTCCTGGATTTTTTGCATCACTGTATAGTCACTATGACCAACACCAGTCTTAACACTCTTGGCATTTCCTTTTATTTGTGCTGACAAAAATTTTCGTAGAAGACTTAGTATATCTTACAGCCATTGTTCACTTTTTCAGACCTCATGGAGAATCTGCATTTATAAACCTCTGTGGCTCCAAGCACAGTTACTTCTAATTTGAAACTATCACAGCCAAAACGGATTGCGGTTCATTAATTTGCTATTGGTGTTGGGTAAATGCTTTCAGTAACTTCTTATTACTTGGACAGGGTGGCTTTCTGAGTTGCATTCCAACTATCTAGAAGTAATTGATTATACTTAGTTCCTGGATAGTCCTCTAAAATAGCTTCCCAAATTGACACTAAGGTGTTACGTACACATCCCTGGGTCAATGAGGTATGGTTTGCTAAAGCATTTATTCATCCAGGTAATCATTTACAAATCACTTACGGAACACACACTTGTGGTGAGGCACTGGGAAAGACCTGGGGCTCTGAAGACATGGCTTATTCACATTACAATCTGATGGAGAGAGACAGATGCATGAACTCATGCACATAACACATGAAAGATACTGTAAAAGGAATACAGCAGAAGCAAAAGGGAGTGGAAAATCTACTGGGGGAGAGGAATTGTCATCTCTACAGCTCAAGAATTCCTGGTATATCATTAAAAGAATATCACATGCAGCTAAACTGTGCGTCATTAAACTAAACCTCTAGGTTATTCAGTGAGCTCTCTGGGACTTTGCCCTTCTTCATATCCAGAGTTGAAAAGTGAGTTCATAGTTTGCAATATGCTGACCTCAATCAGGAAAACAAGGAAAAATATATATTTCCTAGTATCTCTTCTAGGAACTCCCATAGTCTTCTCACCTTGTGTTGTATTTTACCTTTCTGTCAGAATATAGTAAAGTCCAGCTTTTCGTTGAACAGTTAATGGCTGTGCTTCCTTTGGAAGAAAATCAATGAAATGCATGCATTTTGTACATTTTACTGCTAGAACTATATTTTGGAGATTAACTTTTGCATATTGTATTCTCCTTTGAAGTTATGCTTTAAAAAATCATGTTTCAAGTTGTTTAATCAATATGAAAATTTAAAAATTATACGTTAAATATTCTCTGTAAAATATATCTTGGTGTGATAGCCCTTCTGTAATCCTTCAAACAAATTCAAGATAAAATTGTGGCACTATAGCATTAATTGCTAATGTTTCCTATTCAAAAGCTTTTGATGATTTGCATGTTTTGAGATATGCAAATTCCATTTTGAGGTACCTTTTTCGTTTTCAAAGTAATCATCAATAGAAGTAAGTCATTCTTAGTTGTCAGACACGCAAAGACTAGTAACAGAACATTTGTCAGCTGATTCATAGGATTCTCTAGTTAAGATAGATGTGATTACTTATTGTATAAAATCTCTAAAAAGCATGAAATTTTCTTTCATATTCTCATCTTCCTGAAGCCTATGAAAATTGATCAGTTGGAATAGTTCCTATTCTAGTTCCTGTAAAAAATACAGTCAATAAATAAATATTAGGTAGAGCTTGTCTTTATTGCCGAATTACAAAATTCAAGCTTAAAAGTAAGAGTTTTGATCTGAAGATGATGATACCTAATGTGTGGTCATTCATTTAATCAGAAGGAACACAAGAATTATTTGACCTATATGGTCAAAGGAAGTTTTTGAAACCATTAAATAATGTCTGCACTTTAGTAGAAAACACAGAAAGGCATTTGAGTATAAAATCCCTCATCATGCTTTCCCCTAAGACAACCACTATTTTCTTGTCCATTAAAAAAAGAAAAAAAAAATAAGGCATGAACCAAAGCACCAACGAACTGGTGCCGTCTTTCAAAGAAAGAAAATTGTGATTACAATCACTTTCAGGGCAATGAAAACTATTATGATGTAAGAGTAAAAGATAGCAAATAGATCACAATGCACAGAAATGCTCAAATTTTTGCAAATCTCTTCCATCCATTAAATAAGTTAATTAATAAACTAAATTTTCCTGGTAATAATAGTTATAGACACTGTATAAAGCTAAAATGTCCATCAAAGAGAGTTACCACTGATAACCTGCAAATGTAGTATATGTTTCGCATATTTCCCTAGTTTAGAAAATGCCATTGAGACTGTGGGTGATCAAATTGAACAAAACAAACAAAAACAAATAAGTAAACCTTGTTACTCTCAAAGGCAGTAGGAGCAGCAGGGACTGGGCTGGGGGTGGCAAAAGATACGATTTTTAATCTTACATCCCACTTCCCCATGGGAAATATGTTGATTTTTGGTGCAATTAGTTCCCACATGAACCTTACTCTAAGGAGCTTTGGCTATTTCTTTACTTTCCAGGAACTATTATAATAATATTTTTAATTATTACAAGGCTTCCACCAAGATGCTCAGGGTGCAGTATCAACAATTAAAACATCATCATCGTAAACAATAATAATTAAAACCACATAAGAGCACAGCACAAAACAGCCACAGAACACCGAGCGCAATGCCTTGTTGAAGAAGGGTCTTTTTGCAGTGTTCCTTGTAATGTGATACTGCATAGCCATTTTCTGAAGTTCAAAACCAGAAGCAGTTCTAAAAGCATCATCAATTTGCCAACTACAAAATGCCTACAGGTTGATCTATGGAACACTGCTCTCACTTTTGGGCAGAACTGTCTAGTATCCATTGTCTCCTTTACAATCAGAACTTTCAAACAATTGTGTAACCCCAATTAAAATGAGGAAAAAACCTGCTGACAGAATTTCTGACTGAATAGAGAATGATGGCAGGATTTTAATTCTGTCTCCTTTTTCATATTCCCCTGGTTGTGATGATTATTAAGCTGCTTAACCCATTTATAGTTTTATTTCAGCATTTCTGAACAAGGAACAAAACTGTTTCTGGCACTAGAGAAATGACTTTAAGTTGTACAAACTAAAGATTTTATTCATCCACCAAGTAATTCACATAACCCTCTCCACAAATCTGATGTTTAGCCAGGGGTATCAGCTCTCTGTTTTAAAATATATATTTTTTTAATTTATTTTAAGAAAATAACATTCAGTGACATCTTCTTAATAGAAAAGCCACATATATTTTTTCTTTTTTTTAAATGTATTGAAGTATAGTCAGTTATAATATGTCAATTTCTAGTGTATAGCTTAATTTTTCAGTCATATATATACATACATATATTCATTTTCATATTCTTTTTCATTATAGGTTACTACAAGATATTGAATGTAGTTCCCTGTGCTTTACAAAAGAAATTTGTTTTTTCATCTATTTATCTGACCAAGGAGGTGAAAGACTTACATGTGGAGAACTAAAAAATATTGATTAAGGAAATTAAAGATGACTTAAAGAAATGGAAAGATATCCCAAGCTCTTGGATTGGAATAATCAATACTGTGAAAATGGCCATACTGCCCAAGGCCGCCTACAGACTTAATGCAATCCCTATCAAATTACCTAGGACTTTTTCACAGAACTAGAACAAACAATCCTAAAATCTATATGGAATCACAAGAGATCCAGCAATACTGAAGAAAAAGAATGAAGCTCGAGGAATAACCCTCCCAGACTTCATACAATACTACAGAGATACAGTAATCAAAACAGCATGGTATTAGTATGAAAAAAAGACATATGGATTAATGGAACAGAATAGAGAGCCCAGAAATAAACCCACAAACTTTAGGTCAATTAATCTTTGACAAAGGAGGCAAGAACATACAATAGAGTAAAGACAGCTTCTTCAGCAAATGGTATTGGGAAAACTGGACAGCAGCATGTAAATCAATGAAGTTAGAATACTCCCTCACATCATACACAAAAATAAACTCAAAATGGCTTAAAGACTTAAATATAAGACAGGACACTATAATCCTCTTAGAAGAAAACATAGACAAAACATTCTCTGACATAAATCTTAGTAACATTCTCCTAGGGCAGTACCTAGGCAATAGAAATAAAAGCAACAATAAACAAATGGGACCTAATTAAACTGATAAGCTTTTGCACAGCAAAGGAAACCATAAGTAAGACAAAAAAGACAACTGATGGAATGGGAGAAAATATTTGCAAAAGATGAAACTGGTAAGGGCTTAATTTCCAGAATATATAAACAGCTCATACATCTTAAAAAAACAAACAACCCAATCCAAAAATAGGCAGAAAACCTAAACAAGCAATTCTCCAATGAAGACATACAAATGGCCAATAGGCATATGAAAAAATGTTCAAAATCACTAATTAACAGAGAAATGCAAATCAAAACCACAATGAAGTATCTATCTCCTCACACCAGTCAGAATGGCCATCATTTTCCAGAATGGCTGGAAAGGGTGTGGATAAAAGGGAACTCTCCTACACTGTTGGTGGGAATGTAGTTTGGTTCAGCCATTACGGAAAACAGTATAGGGATTCCTTAAAAAACTAAAAACAGACTTACCATATGATCCAATAATCCCAGTCCTGGGCATATATCTGGAGAGAACTCTAATTCAAAAAGATACATGCACCCCAATTTTCATAGCAGCACTATATACAATAGCCAAGACATAGAAACACCCTAAATGTCCATTGACAGATGACTGGATAAAGAAGCTGTAGTATATTTATACAATGGAATACTACTCAGCCATTAAAAAGAATAAAATAATGTCATTTGAAGCAACATGGATGGATCTGGACATAGTCATTCTAGATGAAGTAAGCCAGAAAGAGAAAGAAAAATACCATATGATTTGTTTTCTTTTTTAATAAAATAAACATTTTACTAAGGTGTTTTCTACACACTATAAGGTGAGCAAAGTATACATGTATAGCTTGATAAATTATCATGAAGTGAGCACACCCATGTGTTCACCACTCTGAAGAATAAATGGAACAATTCCAGCATCACAGAATCGGCCTTCCTGTCTGCTCGAGCTATTACATTAGTTCCAAAATATAACCAGTAGGCTGCCTACTATCTCTTTGGTTTTGATCTGTACAGAAAAAGATCTCTTCTGTGCCTAGTCTTCTATGACTCTTCTTTTTACTTCACATTATGTTTGCAAAATTTATCCATGATGTTGTGCATAGCACAAGTGCCTCCAGTGGCATTTCTGTTTGGTGATTCACATCACTTTATATGAATTGGTCATACCATGTCTCAAGCCGCTCTTCTGAACATTCCCATACATATCATTGTGTGCACACAGGTTTTCTTTCCTGTTAGGTATATGCTTTTGGTAGAATTGTTGGGTCATAGGATGTGTACACCCAAATGCTCTGTTTTAGTAGATATTTCCATACAATTTTCCATAGTGGCTGGTTTGTTTTACATAACCCCCATCTGAATGGAAGAGTTCTACTTACTCAATATCCTCATCAAGAATTTCCATTTTCAGTTTTTAAAATTTTAACTTCATTTTTAAGTTAATTCATTCTGCTTCATTTTTCATATTACCTCATTTGGGTTGTAATTTGAATTTCTTTAATTTTTTAAACTTAGGTACAGTCAGTAACAATGTGTCCATTTCTGCTGTACAGCACAATGTCCCAGTCATGCATATACATATATATATATATTTGTTTTCATATTATTTTTCATTAAATGTTATTAAAAGACATTGAATATAGTTCCTTGTGCTATATAGAAGAAACCTGTTTTATTTTGTAATTTGAATTTCTGATGACTAATGATGTTGAGCAACTTCGTATGTGCATATTGGACTTTTGAATACCTTCTTTTGCAAAGTGACTCTTCAATACCTTCTTTTGCAAAGTGACTCTTCAATACTTTTACCCATTACTTTCAAACTGAACTGTCCGTATTTTCCTTAATGATTTAAAGAGGCTCTCTGCATACTCCTGATGTGAGTTCTTTTTCAGATTTATGTATTGCCAACATAGCCTTCCACTCTGTGGTTTGACTTTTCTCTTTCTTATTGGTGACTTGTAATGAACGTCAGTAATCAATTTTAATAAAGTTCACTTTAGGAGACTTACTTTCATACCAAGGGTTTTGGTAGCCAACTAAAAAAGTATTTATCAATTCTGGAATCACAGATATTCCCATTTGTTACCTTTCAGAAGATGTATAGCTTTAATAGAGTTTTACCTTTACATTTAGAACTACATTTCACAGAGATATGATTTCTTTCTTAATCATTTAAGGAAAGCCTCAAGATTTACTTTTTTTTTTCCTGTGATGTCCAGTTGACCTAGAACCATTTATTGAAAAGAACATTTTTTTCCTACTGCACTGAAAGGGAACTTTCTCATAATTCAAGTGACTATAACAGGGTGAAGCGTGCTGTTTTATTTATCTATTCTTACTTCATTAAGTTCTGAATAATTATTGAATTACTTAAGTTTTGTAAGTCAAGGTATTTGGCAATATAAGATTTCTCACTGTATTATTTTTCAAGATCATTTCTATTCTTGGTCTTTTGCTTTTCCATATATAATTTAGATTCAGCTTGTCAATTTCCACCAGAAAAAAAAAAGAATGAAATTTTGACTGAAATTCCATTAAATGAATAAATCAACTAGAGTATATTTGATATTGTTACAATATTGGATCTTACAATCCAGGGATATGGTACCTCTCTCCATTTATTAAATCCTCTTTAGTTTCTTTCCTGTCTAGTAGGTTTGTTTGTAGATAGTTGGCATATCTTATGTTAAATTTATTCCTGGGTAATTGATGTATATTAAAGCTATTCTAAAAGTTATCAGTATATAATTTTCATTTTCCAAATTTTGCTTATATTTAGAAATAAATTTGATGTTTATATTAATATTATATACAGAAACATTGCAGAATTTACTAATCAATTTTACTAGTTTTTCCAAATTTTATCATATGCAAATAATGACAATTTTTTTCTTCTCTTCTAATACTTTTCCTATTTATTTATTTAACCCCATTGCACTGGCTAAGATCTCCAGAAAAGTGATGAATAGAGGTCGTGATAGTGGCATTCTTATCTCATTTGTCTCAAAAAGCAGCTTTTAATATTTAACCATTAAATAGGATGTTTGCTGTGGGTTTTTGCTGATATCTTTTATCAAACTGAGAAAGTTTCTTTCTATTCCTAGTCTGCTAAGAGTTTTTATCATGAAAAGGTGTTGAATTTTATCAAATACCTTTTCTGCATCTATTATAATGACCATGTATTTTTCTCTTTAATCCTGTTAACATGGTAAATTACACTGATTGATTTTTGAATGTTAATCTCCTGCTAAATTCCCAGAATGCATATGCCAAGTAATTTTCTTTGCATTTTCTATGAGGTTTTCAAACATGAGAAAACTGTTTCATTACAGAATTACTTGGGCTTTTTAAAAGTCTATCTTATTTTCAACAATCTCTGAAAACTTTACATGAGGCATACAAAGTTATCTGCTGAAATTAACTTCACTGGCTTTCATTTACCCTCAGGAAGGCTGATGACCTGAAGAATTCACATTTTCTTCATCCATTTCAGGTCTTATAACATAAACACCAGTTTCAATGTCTTAATATAGGAATAAACATAAAATATTGTACATTTATCTTATTGTAGAAAGATAGGTCACTCTTAAACCAATGATTTTTTTAAAATATTGATCTAATAACTGGCTTTTAATTATACACACGGCCTTTGTAATAATCAATTCTGGTGTCCACTTTAAAACATTAATGAAGGCTTTTAGAATTATAAGCAAAGTTTGTCTGCACTTTCTTAGATCTCAGAGTACTGATCTATGCTTCAGCACATTTTCCAGCCTATCTTATACTTCTAGACATCAAGTTTCATGTAAACAGGAAGATACGGTTTATGAAAAGTCCATATAAATTTTTTAAAATCATACAAACATGTATAAGCTTGTGCCATAGTATGGAAGTGCTGAAGTAGGAACAGACTTGGTTTTTCTAAGAAGTGTTTGGAAAAGAATTGATTAAGTTATATAAAAGGTGCAATTACTAACCAAATGAGTTGGTTAAAGAATTTAAAAGCAAACCATTCAGAAATTTAGAATTGCCTCACATTTTAGGGGAGACAATTAATAGCTGGTATTTGGGACTCCCATAATGTTTCATGTTCAGTAGAAAAATGTGGAAACCAAGATGTTAGTTTGAGAAGCAGCTGCAGTCCATTTTAGAAGCACACACAGGCGGGCATTCCCTCAGTGCTGTCACTAACATACCAAATTTAGCGTAAAACAATAAAGCTTGGAAAAATCTTAAGAGTCAGGGTTTGGAAGCTCATCTTCACCAAGAATATAAAGTTTGTGATAAGTTTGCTGTAATAAGTTCGTGTGATTTAGTTCAGCTGAAACTTCTTTTAGCCCTTTGTAGGAAAATACAAGTGTTTTTCTCTGTCTTAATTTTTTAAAGTCTTCTAGCATTGAAGGCCCATTTTATCTAATTTATGAGAATGTTTAATCAAATAGCACTTTGAACTTTCATTGTACCCTTCAAACAATGTCTGAGGATCACCTCCTACTGTTCTGAATTCCTACCAAGTAGTACTATGCCTGCTATTGACTATAGCCAGTAAGAAACCCTTATCACGTGTTACATGTTTGATTAAAGAATGAAACAATTCAACTTTCAAATTTTATCTTTCAAAACCTTGATTGTGAATAGTTCCTGTATCAAAATTCATTAGTTTATGTGAGAAAGAAAAGTTTCTGTCATTACTAGTATCTCTCATTCATTACTATCAACTTTCAGGCAACCTTGGAGTTTAGGATCCATGTTTGAAACTGTTATGTTATTTTAATAATGGAACTAAAACTTTCTCAGATACTCTGAAGATAAAACATCATTCAAATGCAAAAAATAAGAATCTTTTCTAAAAGAAAAATTGCATAATTGGAGGGATATCATTTTGCTCTAATTGGCCTTACTAATATTCCACTTAAATTTCATTTTTTTGTGTGTTACTTTTTATTCCACCCATGCGATTTCCAGTGGGACACTTTAAGAAAAGGGTTTTTCCGAATGCCGAAGGAAAGAGACATTTACGTGAACACTTCCTGTAATAGCTTTATATTATACTTTCAGAAATATCTTGATGAGTAAAAATCATTAGTTTCTTGGCCTTATTTTATTTATTGATTAATCATGGGCGCCCTTCAACTCTCTTCATGTTATATTCATTGATGGCAAATTGCTTTCCTCAGATTGTATAAAACGAAAATGGCCAGTATTCAGGCACTTCGAATAAAATGTAAGGGAGCATGACATCACCCTAAAGGAGCGAATGCGGTTCTTAGTGTCCAACAGGGCAGGAGTGCCACTGTCACAGTCTCTCCCCAGTGGCTCCCTGGTCAACCCATCAAGTATTTCAGCACTTCTGTTTTCTTTAATTATTCATCTAAACAATGAAGTGGGGAGGAAACTTTATTTCCTTCTACAAGAAAAGCATAAAAAACTTCTAAGCCAGACTTCGTTGTTCACACATTTCTATCAGCGTGATTAACAGCCTTCGATTACGGAATGAGAAGGGAGAATCTTGCTGGAAATTCTAAGTACTCTTGACAGCAAGGGGGAAATTTTATACGTAAAATTCCTTATCACCTAACCAGACTCATCTAAAAATCACCACGTCGCATTCAGAGTTAGTTTAGAAATTTAGAGTGAGAGACAGGGAGCACTAATTACTGGAGAATCACACAAAGCTCTTCACTGGGTGCTCACTCTGTTTATACACAAGAACAAAGGGGCACAACTAGAAAAGAAGAAGTTTTGCTGCTTCCATTGCCTGAAACAAAAAGTGTTCTTAATTATATCTAGCACTCTGATTGAAATGTACCAGCTTATTACATTTGAAGTGTGGTTTTTTAAAAATGTTTGGTTGATGACATTTTTAGTTTTGGAGTTAATTTTTCTAGAAAGTTAGCAATCTAAACATAAATATGAAGAATCATGGACTTTCTAATTGAAGAAAGGTTATGGATTAATTGAAAGAATTACAACTATGCTTTGTCCAACTTGTTATTTGAATTCATTAAATGTTCATTGAATGAAATTCTAAATTGAAATAAATCTCAAAATAAAATCACATCTTTACTCTTCTAATGGCATCTCTTTTTTCCAGGTATTAACAGATCTATTATGCAATATATAAAAGTCATTTCATCACATACAGTATATGCTATATCATGCATCTATATTCTATATATAAGAACAATATTTCTATAAAGCACACATTCCAAAGCATCACAACTCAAAATTTTGAATTCATAGAAATTTAAGATAGACTAATATTATTCAAGAATTAAAATAAAACCATTTATATAGTTTATGTAAGTTACACATAATTATAGAATAGATTATATAAATATTGGACATTAAATATTAATAAATATAAAATAGATTATTAAATAGATTCAGATTTTTATAGATACCATTACAGTGATTGAAAATACATTTTCAAAAAATTTAGAAGGGGTTAACAAACTGCACTTTATAGTATCTAGGAATAACCACACATACACATATATCTAAATATACAATAGCCCTGCTTTACCAGTATTTTCATCTTAATGCAGTGATTTTATTACTAGAAAACTGTGTATTCTCTAGAAAACAGATGTCTCCTACTTTGCCATATGCACCCTTTGAACAAGTTCAATACTCATTCAAGGTGAATTCTATTAAATTCAAATGTCTCTTACGACATCTATTACTCCTAATCTCATGGTTAAACACTCACTTTCTTATGTTCTTGTATCTTTTCCCCAGAGTTCTGTAACTCTGTCCCCTTTTGTTTACATGGCATCTAGTAGGTGTTCAATACATGTTTTTAAATAGTATTTAATAAATTATTCCATTTCAGAGACCCAGAACATTGACTCCTGAATACAACCTCTAAACATGTCATTTATCTATCCATTCTTTTAAATTCTTCTGCCATTATCTCATGCTTAGAAGTCCCTCAGAATAATGCCATCAGAAATATGATTATGAAGCAATATTGTCATCATACCATGCTTCTACATTAAAAACCATCAACACTTCCTGTTGCCTACATTATTAGTTAATTCATTCAATCAAAAAATTATTGAGTGTTTTCTACATGCCAAGATATCATTCAACCCTCATGAACTGATTTTCAAGTCCCTTTGAATTTGACTGTAATCAACATGTTCAACAATATCTTCAAACTCTGATCCTCTTGGATCTTACATTCTAGCTGAATTTTTCTTCTCTTCTAGTCTTCCTTACACATATCTTGTGCCTTTCCACCTTCCAAATTTTGCCCATTAACACACTCTTTTCTTCAAGGCCTAACCTAATTTTTAAGACATAATCAAATTTTTCCTTTTTTATGAAAATGTCACAAACTGTTCAAGAGATGAGTAATTTATTTTCTATTGTATAATTTCAACTGTCCTTTAATTACTGGCTGTTTTCCAATATATTTAACTTTATTGTATCGATTTTTATTATGGAAGTCAGCATTATATAATGAAAAAATAAGGGCTTTAGAATTGCCCATATTTGAGTTCAAATACTCAATGAGCTATATAGCAGAAAGGTGATCCTAGTTAAATTAATTTCTGGATGAATGTCGTATCTCTAAGGTGAAATTAGTAATAACTACTTCCTAGAGTGGTGGTAAGAATTCAGTGAAACAGCATTGGTACTTTTTGACTATGATTTTCCTATTTCTATATATTTCTACATAGCAGTCTTGCATTTTTAATATGTTTATGTTTGCTAACTGATTTGCTAGCCCTTGAGAGACAAAGGGCTTTATGATATCTTATTATATATACTATTATAAAGAGTAGAATCATAGAAAACATAATGGATTATTTCATTTTCCTATTAGTACACTTATGGGGAAAGAATAAACTGGATATAAGGACATGAGAGAAAGGTGATATCCTATCATTGAATAATTTATGCTAAATTTTATATGTGTGTGTATTTATGTATATATGTATTTTTATATATGTTTATTTAAGTTTATATATTATTTATATAATGTACATGTATACTTGTATATATAGGTATGTATATAAATACATATATACTCTCAAACATGTAACATACATACACTTATATTCAAAAATAGTTAAGCCAGCTGAGAAGCTGATTATCTTGGGTTGAAATATTTCTACATAGCACAGTTATATTGGATATGAATTTGAAATTAATAATGCACTTTCTCAGAGAGCAATGTATCAATATTCTAAGACAGATTTCAAGCCTTCAACTTGAAGAGGGCTCAAAATGTGTAGTTTGAACTGATCAGTTTCAATTATGTTAAAGGAAGATCAATAAGTCAGTAAAATATTCAAAAACTCTTACTATGTTTATACTAATTAAAAACATATTTCTCTAAAAATGTGCTTTTAAAGAGCATTTCTGGATTCAGGAGGAATTTTAAACAAATCTTACATTGCATTATTGATCAACTGGATTAAAGGAGCACTCTCATTTTTCCATATTTTATTTCCTACGTTGAATTCCAAGCACACAGTTCTATGGCATTGCCCTTCATTTGTTCTTCCCATTGGAATGCATGGCTAATCTCTTAAGGGAATGTTCTTGCTATTTATTATTGATTTTATAGCTCAAAAATGTAAGTGGGCACTGAATGGGCTGGATTTCAGATTAGGAAATAACCACTTAGAGGAAGAAACCAGCTGGGTACTTATGATAAATTGCTATTTTCTGTCTGAATTTTGTACCTAGTTATAGGTAGTTTACAGAATTAAGCTCCATATGGACAAAATGCTACGGAGGGGTCTACGACATAACCTGCATGTAGTTACAGATGTTTCTCTCACTCTTTGGGGACACATTTTAGGAGAAACATGTCATAATCAGGGATTTAGAAATAATGAAAGATTTGGCTTTCATCTGTTTTTCATGGATTTACTAGAGCTGAGATAAAGAAAACAAACATACACAAATGTTAGCTGTGATAACATTAAAGTGGACTAAACAAATACTCCCTGAATGTGTTTACACACACACAGGGGTGCACATACACACATAAACACAAAAACCTCTCACACCACCACCGGCAGTCCTGTGATTCCCAGCACAGAAATAGTTTCAATGCATTATAGTAGTGGATAATAAATTATCTGTTAGAAAACAATCTTGATGAATTTCCTAAGTATTTGTTTTTTTTCCTTTGCACACAGACTTGCTGACTCCTAGTCACAGGGTGGAAACAGCATATTGGAAACTGCCTGGGGCTCTGGCCAGCCTGCCAAGATCACTCCAACACACCCCCTACCCCACACTGGATTCCTGCTCCAGCCCCTGTTGCTCCAATGCTGTTCCCCACTAAGGCAGAGGCTGCCAATACCAACAAGAGTGTGCATACTTGGAGGGAACAGTTGGTTCAGCCCCGGCCCTGTCTCTGAGTGGCATGGAGGCAGCCACTGCCAGCACATACTTTGGTGCGCACACTTAGGTGGGATCAAGACTAGCTCCAGGGAGGAGATCTTCACAGCCAGCATGCATCCCTGCAGGCACTCAGAAAGGAGTGAAGCTAGTCCCAGGGTGGAGACCACCATCACAGGAGAGCCAGTCACTGTGCACTCTCAGATGGGACTAAAGCTAGCTCTAGGGCAGAGACTGCCATTCCAGAAACAAGTCCCTGTGCATATTTGGGAGAAGGTGGGCCCAGCTCAGCACTGTGGCATCAACTCTTATGGCCCCAACCCAGCCTCTAACCAAGACTTGCACACCAGCCAGCCCTTGTTTGGGTGCACACACTCAGGAGGGAGCAAGGCTAACTCCAGGGCAGAGACTGTTATCTTTGGAGCCCCCATGCCTGGGAACAGTTGTGAGGGGATACAGTAGGGAAAAGTCAAAGCACCACAAATGTGTAATCCCAAGTCTTCAGGCCTCTAACCACATCCCAAACCAAAGCAGTGACCACCACCAACCTAGGAGAAACCCCACATTCTTAGGATTCTTCCTCTAGCTCCTCAGGCCCCAACCCCACTCCCAATAGAGTGATGATGCTCCTTGAGCATAGGTGATGCCCTGACTAGTATCTGGCTCTGGCTCTAGCCCATCTACCTCCAGCTCTACCTCCTCCCACCAAGGCTACGTGGCAGCCAGCACACCCCAGTGGAAGAAGCAGCCCATGTTCACTTCAGATTCGGTTCTCCCACCAAAGCCACCTGGGCACACACAGAAAAATGAAGACAGGGGAATATGATTCAAATGAAAGAACAAGAAAAAAATGTAATGAAACAGAGATAAATAACTTACCTGATAAAGAGTTCGAAGCAATAGTAGTAAGAATGCTAACTGAACCATGGGAAAGAATAGATGAACAGAGTGAGAATTTTAATGAAGAACTAGAAAGTATTAAAAAAAGAACCAGTCAGAGTTGAATAATACAATAACTGAAATGAAAAATACACTAGAGGGAATTAACAGCAGATTAGGTGGTACAAATGAATGCATAAGTAATCTGGAAGATAGAATAATGAAAAGCACCCAATTAGAACAACAAACAGAAAAAGATTTTTTTTTAATTGGAATAGTTGAATGGGCCTCTAGGACATCAAGCCAACTAACATTTGCATTATAGGAGTCCCAGAAGCAAAAGAGAGAGACAAAGGGGCAGAAAATGTATTTGATAAAATTATGGCTGAAAACTTCTTGAACATGAAGAAGGAAACAAATACCTGGGTAGAGAAATCAGAGTCCCAAATAACATGGACCCAAAGAGACACACTCCAAGATACATCATAATTAAAATGTCAAAAGTTAAAGATAGAAAATTCTAAAGGGAGCAGAAGGAAGGAAATAAATAAAATAGAGA